ATAATATAGAACAGCATGTTTGCTGTCAATCTGAAGCAAATATTGTGTGACTATATATATATGTTTATTTCTTACAGAATGACTGGTCAGCCCTGCATTTTGCTAGTCAAAACGGACATGCAGTTGTTGTAGGAATTCTTCTGAAAGCTGGTGTAAAAAAAGATGCCTGTAATAAGGTATCGGGAGGGAATAATGGGTAGCTTACTAGAATTGTTCTAATTATTGTTAGGTGTGAATGTTTTGTAGTGTCAAATGTGAAGCTGTTTACCCTGTCTTTGTTTATAAAAACGTCATGAATTCCTAACATTAGACAAGTTGGTCACCCAGTCTACTACAAGCCTATCAACTATTGCTGCCATAAATTCACGTCATTATCTGCACTGCTTTGTGTATTAATATATAATATATTTCTCTTTTTCAACCAGATGCAGTCAACATCGCTTCATTTGGCAAGTCAAAATGGACATGCTGATGTGGTTAGTGTTCTCCTAAGTGCAAACGTTGACGTTCATGCTCGTAAAAAGGTAAAATGTAATAAATTATCAGAATTTTTTGATATTCATATTGTCAAATCACGCCCATGAGTTTAGGCTGTAATTTAAAACCTTTTTTTCTAAGGCAAGATCAACCCAGCAAGCATGAATTACGTAGCAAATCCAAAAGTATTGGCTGATATTGTATTTAGTGGAACTTTCAATCGTATATACATGATTCTTCGTGATTAGGTCCCAGTCTAGGTCCTGGTCCTGTCCACTGTGAAGAATGCGTGTATTTTTGACATTGTTTGCGCCCTACTAATCCAGAATGCACAGTGCCTAGTAGCTCCCCGTAGTGACTGTCGATAGGGTTGGGGTGTTTATGTACTCAATTTGTAGACTATATCACTGTATGTTATAGTTCCTTGTCAATACTTTTCTCTTCCAGGGATATTTAGCTATCTACATGTTCACCATTATAGCCTTTCATTGTGACATACTCGGATCATTCAATGTGACATTAATGTTCCATTCAATGTTCCATAATTGTGTCGTGACATAATTGTACTATTGTCCTATTCAATGTGACGTGACGTGTCTGTGACGTGACGTGACGTGTCTGCCGTCATATTTCTTATGAGTATAATTCGGATGTTTTTTTTTAATGAATTTAATGAATTTATTCAATCAGAATACAATATCCTAGAATCATCAAATATCCTTTTAATCTTATTTTTCGTCACCCGCATGCCCTGTCTGTTTGTGGTCATCTTGATTTGTTTATTTTGTTGCACATACACATTTTTTTAATTTAAAAGACATGTGGATAGACTGTGTTCTTGGAATCGATACATCTTGCTTGTCTTGAATAGAAACACATACAGGCTGGCTTGTTCGTTGTCAACGTGATGTGTTCAGTCTATTTCAGCATATTGTTTCATGGTGTTGTTGTTTTTTTTCTCAACTGAGTCCATGGTCTGTCATCATTGTTAAGACCTAGGCATTGTTAGCAACAATGGTAAGTTACAACGGTATCTAGTTAAAATTTCCAATTTATTGTGATTCTCGTGGTTTATGAACGAATAATCTTGCAATTGTCTATAATATTCCAGGTGACCTGTACGTGTAAAGAAATTGGTCATCATAACAAGGTAACTATAAGCTACAATACGGACAAATAAATGTAATTTATAATCGCCCCATGAGAAATATTGAAAATCAAGCTAAAACCCTTGTATGTTAGCAACATTTTTCCTTCAAAATGGAGGAAATAGCGTTTCAGAGAGGTGGTGAGCAAATCGCGCCTCCATGCAAAATTTCGTGCCTTCTCCTCTGCTGGATATATGTGTACGTGACAAGATTCCTCCGAGTTTTCAATGGATCATCCCTTAATCTTGTGCTCTATGTGATTCGTCGTTGGAGTATTGCTCACCGTTCATTTTAACGCATAAATACCACGGAAACAATTCTAACGTCAGGTCAAGTTACAAATTGAGGTGAAATGTAAAAGTACCACTCACCAACAGGAACAGTTTAAGGTCAAGTGGAAAACGGATTTAAACTACCATTGTATTATATAACATTTCTTTATATTTATATTATAATTTTACAGATCCAACGAGCAGTTATACCCTTGCCAAGTCAACATGGATTACTTATTGAGAGTGTAGTTACTGATGAAGCAACTAGAGAGGTAATAAAACGAATATTAAATTACCACTTACTAGCTATTCAACCTACTAAAATAACAGGAAGACAATTTCAAGAGAAAGTTAACTTGCAAATTGTCATGCATTAGATCTAATATCTCTGACATGTGTGGTCGATCACATTCAAACACGAGCAGGTGTAATTGTTCCATAATAAAATTCAAAGTGACAAAATGGCGGCTATTTGAGCACTAAAAACTCATTAAAATAAAGCATTTCTGCCATTCCGAAACTGGAGATGACCTCGTTTTACTGATTTCTGATGTTTGAATCTTTGGGTGACTGGTGTTCACTTCAAATAGTACAAAGTGACATTTCCAAGATCTTGTTAAAATGTGCAAAAAAGAACCTCAACAAACAACAATTTCAAATTCAGATCAATGCCACGCGAATTATCACTAACATTAACCTAAATGTTCGTATGTACGAAAAAGTATTTTGAGATCTGGTCAGCGTCAGGTTGAAACTGCCACTGATACCCTCAATATTGGTCAAATTGAAAGCAACCTATTGTCAACTTTTACTTTTAGATCAAGGTCAAATAAATAGCAAAACTAGAATTTAGTGAAAGTTATATTTTAGAACTATTATTTATTAATTATTATCGAAACAACTCATATTAGAAGGGCATAAATAGTAGTGACGAAATTAAAATTCAGTTTAAGGTCAAGTTAACGTCTAATTTAAACTACTGCTTATTAACTTATCATTAACTAAATAACTAATCTTGGTTATATTGGCACATGAATCTACCTCAACAATGTCAAGATCAGTTGTTTGGATGAACTGCCATACTAAACATAGAACATTTACATAGTTTAACATCGAATATGGTGTTTTTTACAGTCTAACAGCTCTCCACTTGGCAAGTCAGCGTGGATATGCTGCAGTGTCAAGACTTCTTATTGAAGCCGGCGCTATTGTTGATGCAGCTGGAGAAGTAATGATATATGTTGATAAATTTATAAATATAGTTTTGTCTTTTTGTCTGACAGCTTGCATATGTTTATTGAATTCAAGGTTGAACAACGTAGTTTCATT